TTACCTCAGTCAGACTCATCTAAAACACATATGCAAAGAGGGGAAAAGATGGTGCATGTAACCAAACACGCCCCAAGATTATCCCCTCCACCTCCTCTTCCACCCATCGTCATTCAACTATTGGTGGCCAATGATGTGGTTGCTCTATTATTATGATGGTCGAATACCTGCAATTCTGGTCTTCCATTCTGTTCGAACAACATCGTCAATAGATGATGTAGATATAAAAATAACTAACCTTTACATCTCCAAGATCTCAAAACACACCTCCAACAAATGACGTAGATGTAAAAAAAAATTACATCACCTGCTCCAAGTGATGTAAAATACAACACTTGAAGATGCAAATTTACACCTTCAACCGCTGGAGATGTAACCTGGATGCAAAACGACAAGCCGCGCGGCAACCCGACCGCTTTGAAATTTCCCCTCCCTTCCCTCGACTGGACGCCTCCCTCGATCCGCACCTTGCCGTCGGCAGATCCGGCCTTCCCACACGCGCCGCCGCCGGATCTGCCGCCCAACGCCTCTAAATCACCGTCGTGTCGCCGCTTCGCTACTGCCACTCCGCCGCCCTGTTGCTCGTCTCCAAGCTCACTAGTTGCCCGTTGTTCGTCTCTATGCTCGGTCGCCGCTCGTCCTCAAGCTTGGCCGCCACCTCCAGTGTCCTCAAGCTCGGCCGCTGATCGTCTCGATCCGCCGCCGCTATGCCGCCGAACAAGTTTTACATTATCTATTATACATCATCTGTTGGAGACAACACCAAATATACATCATTAGTTGGAGTTGGCCCTTTTTTAAAAGATGTAAAAACTCACTTTCTGGTGATGTAAATTATGCAACACCTACTTTTACATCTCCAAATAATCGTTCTGTTTGAGCATCGTTTGAAATTCGAAATTGAAACCGCCCCCTGCCGCACGTCACCAAAGGGGGGAAACGGAAACCCACCAAGCCTTCTCCCCTTCTTCGTTCTATTCACTCCGTCGCTCGGCACTCTAGGCAACGAACAAGCGGGGCAAGAACATGGCGATCGCGATCTCGCAGGAGGCCTTCGATGACATGGTCCGGGAGAACATGGAGGACCTCGGGATGGACCCCGACGAGGCCCTCGCCGACGCCGTCGACGCCCTCACCCTCCAGGGCGCCAACCTCTCCGGTACCCACGAACCCACTCCCCGTCCTCCCCAGGGCTTCAGATCTCTGATCTTTCTTGCCCGCGCGATCACGCGGTGGGCTGAACCTCTCGCCACCTCCTGCAGGGATCATCAGGCGCGTGCCTGGGGACGCCGCGGCGGAGGAGGTGAACCCGGTGATGCGGGTGCTGGACGAACTGAAGGCCTCCTCCAGCGGCAGGTCGGGGGAGGATCTTGACAGGCTGCTCTCTTTGCTCGACGAGTTGCTCGAGCTGTGCTCCGGCGAGGGGGCGGAGAATGCGGCCGTGGCGGCGCGGAACGGCGGCGTGGAGGCGCTCGTCGCCCTGTGCGCTTCGGCTGGGGTTACACAGCAGAGACTGCTTGCTTCGGGCTTGAAGGCGCTGAGCTCCCTGATCCGTGGTATGTTGCTGTCCTCGCAAATGTTCTTGGATTGGAGGATGTTCCATTGATTTTGTGTTCCGCAAAGGATACAGTATATGTGAGGATTTTAGTTTTCTCCATATGATCTAGTAGCCATCTACCAGAACAACATTCTCTGGTCGTTGTCTGACATTTTGGGATGAACTCAATCTGCAGATGTTGGGAGCACTGAAAAGTTCAGGCAAAGCCAAGGGTCCAAAATTGTCATGGATATCTTGAAAGGAGCCCTGGAAAAATCTGATATACTGGATGGTGGTTTTAGTGTTGTGGCAACGGCATCTGCTGGCAATGAAGTCGTGAAAGACGCCTTTATGGACTTGAAGGTTGACGAACTCATTCTGGAGGTTATGAGGAACAAATCAAATAGTAAAGTGCAAAGCGTGTATGATGCCATACGTGTTCTGTTGACACCTGATGATAACCGAGTGGTGGCTTCTCAAGTATGTCCTATATGCTTGTAGAATCATGTGAAGATTTGATATAATTTTAATTTTACATTAGCAAGTGCATCACTTTGATTTGCATATTTATTACTCGGTTTGAATTTGACAATCATGAATCAGTTTACCGGAGATAAATCCATATGGGGGAAATTAGATTGAGTTATAATAAGGTGCTGTCTGTATGAGATGCATAGGGAGCTAAATTAGGTGTTAAGATAGAAATTTTGCAGTTTTATTTTAACTGCAATCCAGCATGATGTAGAAATTTTGGTGGACCCTCTGAATTTAGTTGGATTTCATATCCGCAGAAAAATATTGACATGATCTTCTGGTGATGATTAGATACTAGACATAATGTTCACAAAAAATAATAGCCAACTTGGTATCACATGGTTTCATGTTCTGAACATCCTGGTTTCTCAATGTCATCGGCACATATACATCTTGCATTCTTGCTTGCAAGTTGACACTGTAATTTACTCATATATCACCCAATACATTTGATATGATTTAATATTTTCAGTTTATGACTTGGTCATAAAGTCGTGTACTTTAATAATTTGTCTGTTAAGGAACTAGGCCTTCCTGTACGAATGAAGTTTGGATCCAAAGAGATGAAATTGACAGACTTGTGATGCAGGTATATGGATATTCACGGAAATTTGCAGAAATTGGTGTCGCAGAAGTTCTTGTCATCGCACTCCGTGAGCAAGTTGCTCCATCCAGCTTACCATCAGCTTGTGCTGCTTTGAAGGCAATTGCTGTTAATGTAAGAATAAACTACGATATATACATATCCCATAAATGATAGTTAAAAAGTTTTTTGTTATGGTTTGAATTTCCACTGTAGTGAGGCTCCATTTTTCTGGGGTAATTTTTAGTATCATCAGTTTATAAACTTTATCTGGCCAATAGAATATGAATTGCAGGCAACTAAGCATACATGAAAAGCTTGATGTTCATAAAATTTCCGACATGTTATTGCTCTTCCTTTTACTTTTGGCCCCGTGTATCAAAAACTTATTTCCTATATGCCTATATGGAATTGTGATAATAAATAAAACAAGTCATTTACCCTGAATGCTTATGAGAACATCACCATCTTTAGTTCTGGTGTCACCACAGGAAGAAATATGCCGGTCCATATCTGAAAATGGTGGGATTGATGTGCTTCTTAAGTGCATCGATGAGGCTGGCGTACAGAAGAACAAAGTTATAGCAAAATCTTGCTGCTCTTTGCTGTCTAAGGTATGGTAGTATGGCACAGCACTGCAACATTACCGTACCACAGGACTCCCTTCTTTTTGTATGAGAACAATCCTACTTTATTTAAATCAAACTTACATCACATTCTTCTTGAAGCTGGCTGGAAGTGATGCAAACAAGGCCAATATCATTCAGCAAGATGGTTTTGACAAGTTCTTGAAGTTAGCGTCCAGATTTTCTGAAGACCCGTCAGTAATACAGGAGGTAATACACACAAATGTGCAATACTGAAGAATCCGTATACTGTATGAGCCACTTCCATATCCTGTAACGAGCTAACTGAATGTGCAGGTAATGTCTATCGTGCAAGTCCTTACATTGCGGTCACCAGAACATGCAGCACGTGCAGTCGCGCTAGGCTACGGCACTCTGGCCATACATACAATGCAAAAGTTCCCCTCCTCCGCGCTGACTCAGAAGCAAGCATGCCTTATGATTCGCAATCTCGTGGTCAGAAACCCTGAAAACAGGTACGATGTAGAAGCCACATCCCTCCGAAATCTGCAGCTGCAGCTGGTTTTTCCTTCATGCTTCTACTTTCTTCTCCGAAACGCTTGTTTTTACCACCGCAGGACGATCTTGCTCAACGAAGGTGTGGAGAAGCTTATCAGGAAAGCCAAGGCAATACATGGAAGCTGCAAAGCTGCCGCCACAGATGCCCTGAGAGACCTGGGCTTGGACAACTACAATGCGTAGAAAACCTACATAGCCTACCGTGTGTAAAGTTTGCCTGTCTGAGGATGTTTTAGAAGAATGTATGTTGTGTTCGGGTTCATGGAACTGGGCTGCCACGGTTATGTCTGCTTCTGGTTCCATTTTTGTGGGAATTTTGAATTGTGTGGTTACATGGTCTTGTTACGTACGTATGTTCGAAGTTTTAACCAATGAACAGAAATATTGTGACCTGCTGCATGAACTAGTTGGAAAAATTCACCACCTGCCGGTTACATGTTCTGGTTTGGTACGTATGTTCAAATTTTATGGTCTGGTTAGGTATGTATGTTCAAATTTTATGTACTCCATCTGGTTTTTGAACTGCTGATGCGTTGCATATGGGCATAACTAACTTGTTTGGATTGGGTACTTTCTTGTTTAGATTGGATACTTCAAATTCATCTGCATAGATTTACGACAATGGCCAACTATTGTCTAGTCTGAACCCTGAACGGTGTGGCACCTCTGGTTGTTGAATTTGTCATGTGTCATTCCTATCTGAATTATGCAGTGTCATACAGTCATTGCACGTAAAGGCTCGCACCATTCAACTGGGTGGTTTTGGTAGGGTTCTTGGGGGCTCCAAATGCATGGGCCAAGTGCAAAGATAATAAGCAAACAGAATGTAAAAAGGACATGTCATGTTGTCGACAATGTTTCATCAATTCTCGCAAAATGTGTTTTGCCAAAAGAAGTTGTCGAGATATCCAAGAGTTGAAGTCAATGAAAGACATTTCTTTCGACAGCATTGCTACCAGTTCTATACTAACACAAAAGGTTCAGGTGCCCCCACTGTTTTCAGCCGTCCACTGGGAGTTATTTCTCCCGTCCAAACTCCATCAGTATAACTGCAAAGAATAAAACATGAAGTCAAAATGCATAGACAAACTACAAGCCCGGCGAAATAAGTGCAGTAGGTTCTAAGAATAACCTGAAGTTTTTCACAGGGCAGCTCCCAGCATGTGTGACAGACGAAACAATGGAAAGGCGCACTTGGGCATCAGTTTTTATCCTACAACAACGACAAAAAAGATCATCAGTTACGCAGAAAATGAAAGAATCTGGTCTGGCCCATATTTCACAACATCAGCATTTGACGGCCAAATAGTTCCTTATCTGTTGTTTCTGTGCCCAAAGGTCCAAACCAAAGAATTTAAATGGCGATGGATGTGGTATTAGGAAAGTACTTCGCCACTTTTCTCTGAAGTTGCAGCCAATACTTCTTCACTTTTCTCTGAACTTCCTGACGTCTCGAACATCTTGGAAAATGCCTTCCGCTCCAGATTGCGTCTGTCAGTAACCTGGGGTAATCACGGATGATAAGTCAGCAACATCTTGTATGAACAGTCGTTAGTCCCAAAATTCATAACCACAATGAACTGACCTTCTTCTTTGCAGCAGCCAGCTCCCGTTTGATTCCTCCTGAGGATCAGAAATACAAAAGCCAACATTCTTAGCTGCAAATGGGAAAAATTGTACTAATAGTCAATGAGGGGGCAACAGGATATACAAACCATCGTTTGGCTCCAACTCCAACGCACGCTGGAAGCTCTCAACTGCAGCATCAATATTCTTGAGTACCATGCGTGCCTGCATTCCAATACCTTATTATTGACAAGCCAAGTTTGAAGATGACGAGCAGCCAGTAAGATTTAATATTCCCAGCACCAACACCCAAGGATTATAAATATTGCACCACGGATAGCAAGAATGTAAGTTTTACCCGCTCCATTCCAAAATACTTGTCATGGTTTTAGTTCAAAACCACAACAAGTATTTTGGAACGGAGGGAGTAGAATGTAGTGCGCATAGACATAAAAGGATGCTCAAGTGGCACAGATGCACATCTTCAATTTTTTGACAGAAATGCACATCTTCAATTTTTTGACAGAAATGCACATCTTCATGTCCAACATATAAAGTAAGATGTACTCAACAATGAACACATGCAAATAAGCCAGTTTGATTTCACATAAATGCAAGTAGTTTGACCGTATAAGTTTAACACAGGGAAGCTAAACTGCGCTGGTCATAGTTTTGTCAAAACATGTTTGTAGTGCATATAATTTCCGCAACATTTGGTCCGTGGATAGTATATTACATGGACGTGTTTAACACTGACCTGTCCTTGACGGAAAAAAGCTTTTGCGTTGCCCTCTGTTTCACGCAGTGCAAAGTCTGCATCTAACAAAGCACCCTCCACATCTCCCAGCTTCAGTTTGCATGCCTGAAGAAGTTACAGGTGACTTCCATATACTAGGAAGAGGCAATGATTTTACAAGGAAAAAAGCCTCTAGATTCACATGACGAAACACAAATGATGTACCAAATAGAATTTCTCTAAATGTAGTACTATAGAGGGACATGCATTTGTGATCTGTCCATGAACAAGTGGCAGAAAGTTGAACTTACAGAACTATTTGTGAGTATAATTGACTTTGTTTTCCGCAGTGCTGAGCTGTTCTCTGCACATTAACAGGTTGTTAGGATTAGCAAGTAAAATGCAAATCTATCCATAAGCACCTTAACAAAAGTAAACAGCGATAAGAAACAAAAGAACAGCTACCTTGATCTATCTCTTCTTTCTCCCAGCAAATATCTAAATACCGCATAGCTTTTCTGTACTTTCTGAGTGCAGCCTTGTAATCATGTTTCTGTAGAGAGGCAGAAACTTCAGTTGTAAGTTCCAAACAGGAATCAAGGTAGGTGTAGTATTTTTAAAATTTAAGATGATATGTTTACCCATTTTATTAGTTCATCTACACTTTAGCCAAAGAGTTGGGCAATACATGTTATTAATGCATTATATGCAACGACAATAAAAACTTCCTCATGTGAACCAAATGACTAGCAAAAATATGAACAGGAAGTGCAGTCCATTGAGCAATGCGAACCTTAAAATTTTCATTTCCGAAAGACTTTGCAGAATCAACAGCGTTAATCCACCACAAAACGTCTGCAGGCTTTTCATCGAGGTCAATGGGCCAATCAGGATACATGTCACCATCTTTGAAGAAATTTGCAACTCCTTCAGTTGAACCTTCTGGCAGTTCCCCACAATCAACAATAACAATATCATCAGTTGGAAGGTCAGCTTCTCCAGCACAAACATGCTCCATTGCGCGAACCACTCCCATCCCTTTTACAACCCTCCCGAAAACAACATGTTTCCTATCAAGGTGTGGTGTTCGGGTGGTAGTGATGAAAAACTGAGATCCATTTGTGTTGGGACCAGAATTCGCCATTGATAACATCCCTTTCCTCTCATGCTTCAAAACAAAATTCTCATCCTCAAAATTCAATCCATATATTGATTCGCCCCCAGTCCCATCACCAGCAGTTATATCTCCACCTTGCACCATAAAACCCTTGATGATACGATGAAAAGATGAGCCCTGGAGAGTAAAAGTTACCCAAAAAATAAGTAGTTGAAGGGTTAAAGATCCCATACTTTACAGAAGTAAAAGATATCCTTCAGTGGTCCCCAAAGGAAAAATCATTGTTACCATGAAGAATAACCAACTCTAGTTCATATAACAAAGGCTTGTCTTGGCCATTCTTTCAGAAAAAAAAGAATTATAAACTTAAATTCAGACGTTAGGATAATGCTAACTCTGTACAGTTAACAACAAGATTACCACCATTCTCTTACTAGAAAATGGAAAGTAATTTGGTGGCTGCAAATGAAAGTGAGGCAATCTTGCCTTCTGTCTACGAAAGAAAATGGGCAATAGAGGATAGCAAACATGTGCTAGTCTCTGCCACTACGAAGCAAACGGTACAAAAGTGCCGTTATCCAAAGTTGGATCTCTGTCGCTCCAACAGTTAAGTGGGAGACTTATCACTACTTCAATAATGCTGTGCTCCACTTATGTGTTTCTGCCACATTATCATCCCAATTTATGGTTGAAGTTGAAGACCCTAAGCTTTAAAATGCCAAGTCTCACTTAAGCATGTTAACTTATTTATCAGTTCAGAACTATCACCAGAAAATAGTAAATCCACATTGACCACATAATATTATTTTGCAACCACTCAGTTTGTCCTTGACTGGGACACTTGAAGCATACAACAACTAATGCAGAGCTAGGTCTACTTGGTTCTGACAGATCCTGCTTCAAGGATAATCTACAACCAAATTGTGCCAAGAAAAAATTGCCAGAGGCTGAGACCATATATGCAGTTGGTGAGACTTGATATATGTCCAAAATTAGAAAAATCACAAGGTACTTTCTCTACCTAATGAACTCCATATGACCACATAAAACCCTGTTTAACCATACCAGAATCTCTTTTCATAGTCCACTATTCTATTGCCAACCATACACACCCAGTTGGCCAAAAAAGAACCAGTTTTCCTACAAACTAGGGTGCATCCAATTTTCAGCAAGTGCATCAAGAGACCAGAAAGGCAGAAACAGAAGCAAGTGTTGGCCATATTGTACCAGCACCAGTGGTGGGCACTAGTACATGAAGCATATTACCAGTAGTATGCCAAAGCAGGTATACACATACAGTTTAAAAGCAACATGGCTAATTGGAAAGTTACAAGCACTAGTTATGCACACTGAAGAAAGCAGTAGCAGTAGTAAGAAAGACAGCAAAAGCAAAATCGCCCAATCAAAGCAAAAGGCCTCCAAGGACTCATGTTTGGCTGATAAATCGCCAGCCATGGACAGAATCACAGTTCGTGCAATAAAACTATCCAACCCGAAATCGCTGAACCGAGAACCGGGTTACCTGATGCCGAACAATCTATGCGACTATGCGCAAAAGGCACATTTGAGAGTGTTCGGAATCGAACTAATAGGAAGGGGGTACCTCGCTCGAGCACCCGCACCAGTAAACCCAACCGGAACCTGAAAATCTAGTGCGAACTACTGTAGCACGACCGCACAGGGGGAGCCAGACGGGATAAACCTTGTAGTGGAGCCGCGCGCCGGTGGCGGCGCTGACGCCCTTCTCCCCGGTGCAGAGCGCGCGGAAGTTCTCGGCCGTGCGCGGCACCACGGAGGCGTAGAGATCCATCACGATCCGGCCCTCCATCTCGCCGCCGATGCTAACGTCGAAGTAGCACCTCGGGTTGCTCACCTCCGCGGCGGCCGCCGCCGCCGGGGCCTGGGCCGCCAGAGCCGCGGCGCCCTCTCCCTCGCCCTCCATCGCCGCGCTGAGCGGGAGCAACCCTAGAGGTACGGAGGGACTTCTCGGCGGTGGCGGCGCTGCGAGTAAAGCAAGGGGCGGCGTGCTTCGGGGAGAGCGAGGAGAGTGGGGTGGTGCGGTGCTGCGTTTGCGTACGGTGGGTAGGGGCGTGGGGCAGTGTCAGTGTGGGTGTGTGTGGGTGATTCAAATAAGGAGGGAGGGGAACAGGGAAAAGGGGAGGGGGTTTGGGTGGACAATTTTGTGATGCCACTGTTTGCCCGAGGCGCGTGGGCCTGTTTGGTCTACCCGAGAATATGCGGTTTTCTATCTGAAAAAACACTGCCTAGATAAAAGTGTTTTTCAACTGTGAACATCTACAACCACAAATACCAAAATCCCGCCCCAAACGCCCCCGTGGATGCGCCCTGACGCGCGTCCGTGGACAGTGACCAGACAACACACAAAAAACAATTTTACAATCATAAACACCATTTTCAAATCACCAAATCCATATTATTACATGCAACGTAAAATCTAATCTAAGCGGAGCTCATCCATCTCCGTCGTGTCCATGTCCGGCGACCGGTTATGCCCCTCAAGAGTGTTGGTCTGGTGCCGACAAGGTAGAGTACACTACTAGGGAAAACCCTAGCAGTAGCGCTGGTTTTGTGCTCACTAGTAGCGCGGGTAGGCGCGCTACTAATAAGGCGCTACAGCTATTGCTTAGCAGTAACGCGTGCCCGCCCGCGCTACTGCTAGGACAAATAGCTGCAACGTTTGTTCAGTACCACACTACTGCTAAGGTAACTACTTGCAGCGTATTTTTTGTCCATCGCTACTAGTACTTTTTTTTATTTTTTTATTTTTAGTGTATTTATGCGCCATCGTACAAATATTGGTACAATATCAGTTATGAGGTTTATATCATTATGTCCATAACAGTGTGTCAAATGAAGGTGGATTAGGTTCAAGTGGAGGCAATATGTGGTGTATGTCAAAAGTATGCTACTAATCCAAACTTAATCTAGTTTGGACTAATAGTACTTTCGATGTGCACCACATGTTGCCTCCACTTGAATCTAATCCGCCAGCACAAGCTATTTAATCATCATCATAGTCATTATTATCAACAGTATTTATTTAATCACCACTAACACTAGCTAATAATAATCATCATAGTCATTACCACCAACACTAGCTATTTTATCATCATAGTAATATAGTGTAGCACATCATCATCCTCAAACTCATTTCTAGCTAGCTAATCACTCCTGCTGCTCTCTCTTAGGTAAAATAACATGAAACATGTATAGCTCTCCTCCTTGATCAAGCTGGAGCATGCAGATGAACCTGTCTCCTAATCGTGGGTAGCACATCTGTTTGCTGCCCCCTAGTACTTCTGCGCTCCCCCATCACATATTTGGTCCAGTCTTGCACTATTAAGCATCCGTCGCTAATCTTGAATGCACTAAAATAATCTGTAGGATATCTTGGCCGTAAGCTGATAATACTCATGGTACCTTTAGTCTCGATCCCATAAGGCACAACATTCATCAGGAGTCCCTGTTGAAGAACATCGTATGGTAACATACTTAGCAATGAAGTTTAGTTTCAAAAATAATGTATGGAAAAGATGCACTGAGATGACAAATAGTAAAAATCTTACCATCCTTCCTAAATAGATGTGACCGTAGTTCATTACGAACACTATTGGTCGCACATTTTCAGTACTAACATTTCTAAATACAGGAAGAAAGTTTGTCTTGACAGTATCAAGATCCTCAAGCCATGAAACATAATGACTGAGCTCCTCGCAGTTGAGTTCAGCCCCAGGACAGTATACGGTCATGTCTATCAAGCGCTGGACATGTTTGCTTGCACCGAAATAAGATGACAATACAAATTAGTTGTCAACTATTTTTGAATAAACAATATCAAAGACATAAATATGGTTGAGAAACTTACATAATGGTATAACTGGAGGCGTCTGCACATCGACTCAGATGTCGGTATTACCTTCAATATCATCTTCCGGACGAATATCAAAGGTGATAACCATATCAGGCTCAAATGCATAAATCTTGCATAGTGCTCGCCATGTTTTGCATCCAAAATAGGTGTATTCATCTGAATTGTACAATTTTGCATGGAAAATATAACCATGCTCGGTCTTCAAGTAAACTTTCTTTTCCTCCATACTATGACTGAAACATATCTTATCCAATACAAAAACTCTTGCATGGCAGGGAATACGCTAGTAGAATAGTAAAAAAGATATAAGTTGAAGCAAATGAAGCAGATGTCATGCTTAATTACGAAAAAAGACTTGTCATTGTGACTTACTGTATCCACTTCGAAGTTCTCGTCCAGCTTGATGCTGAAGCGCCTATCATCATCTAGGAAGATTCCGTCGCACAGGACGCGCTTGTCTTCGCAGTATTTGCAAATACCGAAATCCTTTTCGTCGTCAGACATTTCCTATGTTCATAGTTAAAACATTAATTAAAAATCGATCGAAGACAACTACCAAGATACTCAACAGTAACCTGCAAACATGACCAGCCACTTGGATATTGAGCAACACAAGATATACATTTCAAAATATCTTATAGGACTCAAATTAGCATGCATTCAATAAGCAAAAGTAAATCATCTCATACGTCCGTACATCGTCGAATATTATCACTAATACATCACGAATAGTGTCATACATATAACATCACTAATACAACTAAAACCCTAGCACACGACGGGTATCGGCGCGGGCGGTGCACACCCACAGAGAAGGAACCATCACGGGATCATAGCTCCAGTGAGATCCCCGGAGAACCTGCCAGGTATTGGAGAACGGCCTGTGCTCCAACGCAAACAAGTAGCGACGGACGTGCGCGTCCTCCTCACTGACACGGTGACGCACCACCTCCGCGGAGTCCTCGAGCCTCTGGATCGTCACTGGCCCACGCGACCGCCACCAAAGAAGGTTCGGGTCAACGACAGGCTGGCTCCTCACCAACCTGCGCCCCCGGTAGGTAGCGCCTCCCAGTACCACCCCGGCGGAGCCCAGTCCCGGACATGGCCCATCTGGTCAAGCAGGTGTCGTCCTCCACCGACTCGACGACGAGGATGCGAGATAGGCATCGTCCACGTCGATGCGGGAAAAATTGCTTTAACTAAAAAAATAGCAACAAGTTCTTACTAACATGTTCTATTAATTCAATTAGTTTTTACTGAAAATAAACTTACTATAAATAAAAATAAACTAGTACCTAGCTAATTAGTACCTAGTTCTTACTAACTAATTAGTACCTAGGAACTACTGCTAAGGGTTCATACTAACTAACTAACTAACACTAAATTAACTAACTAACACTAAAAATAGCCTAGGGTTCATACTAACTAGCACTAAATAGCTAGGGTTCATACTAAGCAAATTAACAAGAGGGATCAGAAGGGGAGAGTGCTTACAGAGGGCGGGGAGAGAGATGGGGTCGGGGGAGACGGCGGTGAGGCGG